CCCGATTCGTAACCACTACGCTACCAGAGCTCCTTATAGTCAGAATCAATTCAATGGTGGTAGGTTTGGATTTTTTTTTTTTTTTTTTTTTTTTTGCTTTTTGGTTTTATTGAATAAAAGGGACACTTGTATTACTATTACATGTGTGTTCTTATGAAACTGCTTTGTTGAAGTTTTTTATATTACCAAAGATCATTTTCTCATTATCATTCTAGGAGGATTAGAAAATCAGTGATTTCCTAAGTATTTCAGCAATAACTATTCAGTAAAGTTCATACAAAAAGCTTTATCTTTTCCTTCTTTAGCTTTTCTTTTTATTCCCCTTCCCCGATGATAGTAAGCATCTTTATTTAGTCACACTTGGATAGTCTTTTCTTGGATGATTCTGAAATTATAATTGTGATAAAATTTAAATCTATGCCTCCATATTTCTCAGTGCTATTAGATTTCGAGTGATGTATTCATGTCTGTCTTTTAAGGCTGACTGACAAAGACTGACATTTCTAGCTAATTAGCTTTGCCTCAGAGTACTTAATCATTGAAAACCATTGCTTTTCTTGTTTGTTTTCCATTATAGCTTTGTAATGTGAGTCTTCAATGGTTTCATTTCTCCAGAGTGTAGGAGGCAGTTCCTTCTGATAGGGGTACAGGGGCTGTCTTATTTTCTTCTTTTTCCATTCTCCTTGAGTCTTGCTTTGCATGGCTTCCCTGAGGATCACGTATGTATAGCTTTGGCATATGCCTATTCACATGTGTCGGAGTCTGTTGGCTGAGTCTTTGCGCATCATGCATATGTCTAAGCATAGCTATGTAACCTTGGTCAAGTCATTGAATCTGTCTGGAGCAAAGCTTTCTTTGTTATAATGAAAAAGTGTTAATAACTAAATATTTTTAGGTAACGCTGTACAACTTGGATGACACTGCAAGTACTCCAACAGTTTAGATTTCATTTCTTTTTTTCCCTTTCTTTATATCCTATAAATACATTCCATGTACTCCTGTTCAAAAAACAGTTAATGCTTGCCAGACATTTGAATGAATGTCTCTAGTGTGTTCTCAACAGTGCCAAACATTTTAGTAACTAAACGTTCACTCCATTTGGTGACTCATTTCTACCCTATGCCATAGGCCTTCCCTTTTGTCACTACTGGTAATTTCTCTTTGCGTTCCTGTAAGTCCCTAAAAACCCTATCCGATTTCTCATAGTTTCAGTCCACTACAAGGGGACTTAAGAAAGTTTGTGGAAAAATTCCATTATCTTTTAATGCCATTTGTGCATGAATTTTTTAAAGCCCTTTTGTAAGTACCAACCTATTTAATCTAATTAGGACTCACCCCATTGTTATTCCCACTTCCATCCCCCACTTCTCATCTGAAGCCCTTAATATCCCTCTCCATAAGTGTTACCAACAGGGCTTGGGACTGGAAGAATTCCATGGCCTGGGCTGAAACAGGAAGACTTTTGAGTGGTAAACACCAAAGTGTTTTCCAAGAGCAACATTATTTAAATAGTAATTAGATTTTATAAACCTGTAATAGTTTGGCAGCATGTGTTAATCACACTAAGTCAAGTTAGTTAATCAAACTAACCCATTTGTTTTGGGACTCCTGGAAGTTTTTCCCCATGAATATCACCAGCTGACTTATACAAAAACTTATGGGCCTCAATCTATTCATAATTTTTCCTCTACTGGAAAAATCAGAAGATGACATGAATTTTTCTTCTATAGTTTTCCAAATGTTGTGTGTGTGTGTGTGTGTGTGTCCATCCTCACTGCTTTTCAGCCATCTAAAAATCTGTAGAACTTTCTGTTTGGTAATCATTATATTATTGTGGTATGTGGCTTTAAGAAATTACCATAATACTTCAAAGTGAATGGTGTGAATTACTAAATTTTACAGCCTGTTCTTATGTGCTCTACAACATACTGCCTTCTGCTTTTACTGTTAACAGATGCTTAGGTAGTTTATTGCACATGTTTTCCTAAAATACATTTTTTTGCTTCAAGAATCCAATTTTAGTTACTATAGGCAGCTTCTGACAAGTTGAAAGAGCAGCTTGAGAAGCAAGAACTATAATTAAGGGAGCATTTTGATATAGGATACTATTCAGAATCAGGCACAAGTGTTGTTATCACCGCTGTGTGGAGGTGATAAAGTTATCTTCTGAGGCTTAAACTCTAGGCAGTTGAGGTGAAATGAATAGCTTCACCAGAAGTGACACATCTCTAAAAAATCTATTGTTAGATAAAGTAAGTGGCAACTGGGATTGTTTCAGTTCATTTAGAAAAGCAACTGTCATACCAGAGTCTATAAGTTGGCATGAAAGCTCTTTTTCTTTGTAATTGTTTTGTTGGCTTGTTTTGTTTAATTGTTGTTTGTTTAACTGTTATAATTCTGTAATGAAGATTTTTTTGGGGGAAAAAGCACAACTACAGGGGCTTTTTCTTTGTAATTGTTTTGTTGGCTTGCTTTGTTTTGTTGCTGTTTGTTTTACTGTTATAATTCTGTAATGAAGATTTTACTGCATCACATTACTATAGTTCTTGCTAAGAACAAACATCTGTTGAACTTCTTGGACTAATATAACAGCTTACTGATTTCCTTTGAGTATTCTTTCTCCTAACAAAACCATATGGTTCCTTGTTACTTTTAAATGAATTGTGGGTCACTCTGGCAAGGGTTTGATTTATATGCGGACATATGAAGGCAACTTCAAAAATTTTGTGCAAAAATTCCATTATCTTTCATTTCCATTTTTCCATGAGCTTTGTGAAGTCCCTTTATAATTTGTAAGTAGATCCTATTTATAGTTATCACTGTAAAGTAGCTCACTCATTTTCCAAAATTTCTGCAAAGTGTCACATTGCACTTATACTCTTCTGGAGCCCCTGTAGTTGTGCTTTTTCCCCCCAAAAAATATATCTCTTCACTCTTCTGTTAACAGCCAAGACATGTTTGGCATAGAACCAGGGAAATCGGGAGAAAATAATGCAGTATTCAGGCTTTCCTATATTTGAAGTCTAATTGCTACAGAGGGTATTTATACTGTATTTGGTCCTAATTGAACTGTGTATGAATTGAATTTCTGTTTTAGAAGGGATTGTGTCAGAAAAACATTCTTTATAAAAATCTTTCCCTTTGACTACATTATTTTCATGAATGACAACACTATAAGAATCTCTTCCACAAGGGATCCATGAATA